ATTCCTTGGGTCGATTGCTTGATCTGTGCTTTCTCTCGGATCCGACCATAGCGTTGTTAACCCGAGCCCTTCCGCTCAGTATACCTGAAAACTCCAACCATCCTACATTCGAAGTGTCAGTCGATATTGGCCCTACTGTATTGGATCGAATGGGTAGGCTATCTGAACGTGTCCGCTGCTTTCGTAAAGCCGAGTTTACGAAGCTTAATAGCCTTATTAGGGATTTTGATTGGTCCCCTCTGTACTTTTGCACTGACACTGACAAACATTTTTTACAATGTACTTGACACATTTTTTGATTCTTGTGTCCCACTTTCTAGTCCGGTTAGATCTGGAAAGCCTCCTTGGTTTACCAAAGTGTTATCCAGTCTACAAAATTTAAAATCAAGACTTTATAAAAAATTTCGAGAAGTTGGTTCTCCCTCTTCTCTTTCTCACTATGTAATAGCTCGGTCAAATTTCTCCGTTCTTAACGCTCAATGCTATAAAAACTACCTATCTCGATGCAGGATACGATTTTCACAGGACCCTAAACAGTTCTACAGCTTCGTAAATAGTAATCGTAGAACGTCTGCACATCCATCCTCGCTATCTTTTCTAAATATGTCAGCAAACAATGATCAGGCAATTGCCGATCTTTTTGCCAAATTTTTCCAAACAACCTATTCTCATGAAAGCTACTCTTGTCAGCCGTATCCATACAGTTTACCAAGGTCGAATGGCATTTTCAGCCCTTGTTAAATGAAAGCTCACTGCTTCATGATCTTCGACTAGTTAAGCCGGTGTTTTCACCAGGTCCAGACGGAGTTCCCGGCTGTGTACTCAGGTACTGTGCCGACGCTCTGTGTGGACCCCTTCTTAAACTATTCACCCTATCCATTAACTCTTCATGCTTCCCCCCATCTAGAAGGAATCTTTTATTATTCCGCTCCATAAGAAAGGTAGCATTCGATTCTGTAAACCATTCTCTTTTAGCACAAAAACTTGACCTTTTAGGGTTTCCGCCTAATCTTTTGAGATGGATTTCTAGCTACCTTTGTTCTAGGTCTCAAAGAGTCCTCTTCAAATACTTCTTCTCTTCACCTGTTAAGGTTACTTCTGGAGTACCACAGGGCAGCCATCTAGGCCTCCTTCTATTCACATTCTTTATTAATGATCTACCTTCAGTATTAACAAACTCTCGAGTACTCATGTATGCGGATGATGTTAAACTTTGTGTCCAGTATAAGGACATTTCATTTCACTCTCGCTTGCAATCCGATCTCAATAACTTTCAATCATGGTGTTGTGCAAATATGTTACACCTAAATGCCTCGAAATGCAAAGTAATGACATTTCATCGCTCCAGCCCCCTTTTGGCTCCTTATAGCCTCTGCGGTGGTTCTCTTGAGAGAATTACCTTGGTTGATGATCTTGGTGTTAAATTAGACCCAAAGTTAAAGTTTTCTGAACACATTTCTACCATGGTAAATGGGTGTGCTTGGGTTCATAAAGAGGTGGTCAAAGGAATTTGACGACCCCTATATAACGAAGACTCTCTACATCTCGCTTGTTCGTCCGATTTTAGATTACGGCTCTTGTGTATGGTGCCGCCAGTATAAAGTACACCAGGACCGTATAGAATCCGCCCAGAAAAACTTTTTACTTTTTGCTCTGCGTGGCCTTAACTGGGATGCAGGTGTGAGACTGCCATCTTATCCTCGTAGATTGCTTTTAATAAACCTTCCAACCTTAGTTAGTCATAGAAAAATGCTTGGTGTGATTTTTATGCACAACCTGATCAAGGGTGACGTAGATAGCCCTGACTTGTTGAGCCGCATAAACTTTACGATTCCTATTAGATCTACTAAAACTTCATTCCTTTGTTCCTTCCACTTTGTAGATCGAATTATTCCTTGCACGAACCATTTAGGGTACTTTGCTCGGACTTCAATTCCCTTTACCACATAATATCATCGACTAATTCCCTTCCTCTTCTTAAATCACTATTACTAACATACCTTTCCCGTAATTAGTTATATTTCTTAGCTATCTTTGCATGTTTAGCTCTTTGAGTTGTGTTTAGCTCTAATTTTCCTCGAATTTTAGTCTAACACCTATCTTTCCTGCATGCTCGCGATCGGTTCGGTAACACGCGTCGCACGTCATGCGGCAGCGCCCCTCGGTCGGTTGGGCGGGAGGAGGGCTGCGTTTCTGCCTGGGTTCCGCGCGTAACAGGCTTTGGCTTGGTGTCGCATGGGCCAATTGATGGTGCAGTCATTGCATATCAACGTCCAGACAAAATATCAACATTCCACAAAGCACTGAGGTAACAAACCTTGGTGTTCATCTGGATAGAAGGCTTACTTGGCGTAAACACATCGAAGCGAAGAGAAATCTACTTAAATTTAAAGCTAGTAATCTACATTGGCTAATAAACACCCGTTCACCACTAAAACTGGAGTACAAAGTACTTTTGTACAATGCAGTTCTCAAACCCATCTGGACATATTTAGAAATAATCCAGAGAGCTCAATCGAAGATACTAAGAACTATCACTGGGGCACCATGGTATATACAGAATGAAAATATCCATAAAGACTTAAATGTAGGATCAGTTAAAGATGAAATTGTCAAAGTGAAAGCAAAGTACCAGGCCAACCTTCAAGCCCATCCTAATAGACTTGCGCAGTCTTTAACTTGGCACACTAGCCATACACGACTCCGGCGAAGAGACCTCCCCACCCAGCAATAATACTTAGCTAGGGACGTACTCTAAGTAATTAAGTGTAATTAATTAAATAAATATATTAGGCTAAGATTTGTATACTTGTCGTAAGTCTCTAATAGGGAAGATTCGATAAATAAAATCCCGTAATAAAAAAAAAAAAAAAAATTGGATTGACATGAATTTGGACAATTAAGCTAATTATTTCCTGGTGACATGGGGACATAATGAGATAGGCTGAAAACGTAAAGGGATTTCCGAAAAATTATCGGTTATCGGAAATCATGGAAGGGTGGGTAAGGAATAGTGCGGGTCGAATACCATCTCAAGGCCTCGCGCATACCATTCCGGTTTGTTTGTGTACAATGTATGCATTTTGTCGTTTTTGGAGTTAAGCTCCTATTAGAGTCAAGGGATTCTATCTATTAAGCTTATGTACTAGGAGTCGAGACATGGTCAAACGAACAGAAGTTTTAGAAAAGCTTACAATAACATGTCTGTACCTTTAGCAACAACATTTGCTATTGGCTCGTCCCACCTTTTGCTCTTTTGCTTTCATAGGCTTAATGCTTAAATTAGTTGTGTCGAAAGATCTTACCATCGGTCAGATACAATTCCAGAATATTGCGAGTTCTGTTTGGATTCTAATACTGATTGTCCCTCTGATTATACCCGTACTCAAAAAAGAGTTAAGGGGTATATTAGATTTGTGGTAAAAGTGGATGTGTGTAACGCAGAGAAGGAAAATTTTCCGACCCCATAAAGTATATATATTCTTGATCAGCATCAATAGCCGAGTCGTTATAGCCATGTCTGTCTGTCCGTCCGTCCGTCCGTCCGTCCGTCTGTCCGTCTCGATGAGCGCCTGGATCTCAGAGACTATAAGAGCTAGCGAAACCAAATTTGGTTTCCAGACTTATGTGATATCACACTGCTACAAGTGTATTTCAGAATTTCGCCCCGCCCCCTTCCGCCCACACAAAGGACGAAAATCTGTGGCAGGCACAATTTTAAAGACACGATAAAACTAAAAACGCAGTATCGTAGAGAATGCCCATATCTACCAGATTGCCAAATATGAACTAGATCAGATCATAATTATAGCCAGAATGAAGAAATTAATTTTCAGTTGCTTCCCCTCCCCCTCCCGCCCACGACAACGCATCTCATTTTCCTTCTCGCTCGCACATTCTGCCGCGTTCAGTGCGCGAGCAACCCCTAGCGGAGGAGATGTAGAATATAAATGGTACATGTACAATCTACATGTTAGATGTAGAATATACATTGTATTTGTAGATGTAGATATCATATGTAGCAAAAAAATGTAAAATGTAAAATTTTTTTTTTTCTAAAATTCTTAAAAATCATAAGCTCAAAAATGTATATACTGATTGAGTACGGGTATAAGTAGAGTCGCGTCCCCAGAAGCGACTCACACGTTCTTTCTCGTTTTTAGTAGAAGTCGTCATATCTGAGACGAAATAAAGCTTAAGTGATTATCCTGAATTTATTGTTTTGCTTGCTTGTTGTCGCCTCCGTTCTGTCTAGTTTGAGTTTGAGTTGAGTTTGATTTAGGAATGGTATTGTAACTCTTTGTGGGGAACATACGGTTATAAACAATTGCAGAATATTGCATATTTTCTTCAGACCGGATATCAGTACTGATTGTCACTTTACGGGGTATTTAAGCCCAGAGATTACGGTTCCAGTTTTGGTATACACTCATACCAGTGAGTTGGTTGATATTATTTCAACGGCAGAAGCGTTTGCATATGGTTGTTTGGAACTACCGTTTATGCTGTATTGCGTAACCTTGCCGAATCCACTGTTGAAGCCTAAACCAGTGCAGCAATCCCCTATCAATTCAAAATAGTAACCATAAAATAAAATAAATTTCTTTTGTCGTCGTTCCAAAGATCATAAAAATGGTATCCCGATCTTATTATGTCACCAATGAAATGTTACCATAGTAAAAGTTGTTAGAAAAACAGAAAAACTAATATTTTAATTTTAACTATGCCGTTAAGACATAGTCCCTAGAGATATTCGATGAGCGCAGAAAACATTTGTGGCATTTGTTGCTCCGAAATGTCCAATACTCAGCCGTGTTTTTGTACACTCTGTAATCACGTATTTCATAAAGCTTGTTTGGAAGAATGGTGCCCTCATCACGAGGGTTGTCCAAACTGTGGTAGACCATGTACGCTATCGCAAGCGAAATTAGTCGTTGGCAATTGTTCACCAAACAAGAGGCCGACAGAACCAACTGAATTACCAGGTCCCTCTGGAATGGCTACTCGAAGTCCTGCCAAACCTTTGGAGGTAGTGCAGACTCCAGGGAAGGGAAATCATCAGCCAGAGACGGGAACGGTAGCAGAGGGAAACGGCCACAATTCAAACTTGAGCCAAATCCCGCCTGCAGGATCAGCCCCGGTCGAACGGACAACCAGGCCAACCCATTCGAAAAGAACTCGGCCAGCAGCAAAAAAGCAGGTCCCAAAGATCCCTCAATCTTCAGGTCCTGAAGTAGTGTGTTTATCAGGATTGGATGCTAGTCATAGTTCCAATCAGACTGAGGCTCCTGCGGCAAGTGTCGCTGCCCACGCTGGTCATGGGCCCGCTTACAATGCGTGATCGGCTTATCAAAACCAGGGTTTTGACTTGGATACCCTGCAACAGATGATTGAGAGCACTGTTGCCAAAGCCATGTCAAATTTACATGTCCAGTCTCAAGCTAGAAGGGTACTCGTATAGATCAAATGTTCCAACACCTGTCTCATACACAGCCAGTAATTCTAGCATGTGCAAGGCAAAAACGGCAGACATTATGCAAAAGTGGAATGTCCCGTTTGATGGTTCTGTAGAAGGTTTAGGGGTAGAGGAGTTTATTTACCGAGTAAAGGTTCTGACTGATGAAACTTTGGAGAGTGATTTTCTAGGCCTTGGTAAACATTTGCAAATTTTGTTAGTCGGCAAAGCGCGCGATTGTTATTGGAGATACCACAAGCAGGTTGATCGCATAGTTTGGTCAGAATTTTGTGCAGCTCTTAGACATCAATATAAGGACTATCGTTCCGAGTTTATGAGCAAGGAATTGATTTGATCTCGCAAGCAAGGAGTCGGAAAACCCTTCGTTGCTTTTCATGACGCTGTGGCTGGTCTAATAGACAATTTTGGCATTAAAATGGACGAAGAGGAATTAATAGAAATATTAAAAGCGAATTTGCTTCCGGAAAATCGTCACAAAATCTTGTATCAGACCATTAGCTCTGTCGGCCAATTGCGAAGATCAGTCCAGATGCATGAAAATTTAGTGCAAGTGTTGCAGAAATCAGAGAAGCCAAGACCCATAGTATCTCGTCGTCCCGTTTATAGCATGGAGGAATCCCGCCCAGAAAGCGATCCGGAAGAGGACGAGGATTTTAGCATAGAGGCGGTGAAGTCACTCCGATTTGTTTGTTATAATGAGACAAGAATATCCGTTCTCTTTATTTAATAATTTTTGAAACAATTGTTGAAGTCACTTTAGCCTATGGCCGCGCAGCTGCGCAGCGGACGCAATATACATATGTTTATGTATATATGTGTATATGCCCAGCGCTGCTGACAGCGAGGGCGCGAGGGAAGATGTATATGTATATGTGTATGCATGTGTCGTCAAGTAATGCGAATATGTTGACGCTGCACTTATGTCGCTCGAGGCATTCTTGGGCGATCGTAATACGATAGCTCAAGTTATGTCTAGGACTTTTAATTACATAAACACTGCAAGAAAGTGTTACAGTGTGTTCCCCTTAAGTACACTTGGTACAGTGGGTACTGGATATGTGCATACTACATCTCCCTCCTTTTGAAAAATAACGTAATATATTGGAGTTATTTTATAAAAGTTATTATTTATAAAAATTATTTTTATAAAGTTGTAATAATAATATTTATTAAGTGTAGAAGTTTAATATAATTGAAAACAAATTTTTCCGTTGCGCAACTACATATATATGATTAAAAATTTCCAAAATAAAATTTTTCCCCAGTTTTATTCCCGTACTCAAAAAAGAGTTAAGGGGTATATTAGATTTCTGGTAAAAGTGGATGTGTGTAACGCATTTTCCATTTCCCTTTTTTGCGGTTATTCTGGTAAGCCAAAGGGGCGTACGCGTACGATATTCGGCTGCCGCTATGCCTGCTTAAAGCTTTTTAATCAGAGCTTTCCGTTAGGTTTAGTCGGTAGTTCCGTTTTTCGTTTTGGTTTGTTTGCCGAATTATTTGCATTCTTCTAATGCATTAAAATTGCACTAGCCAACAAAGAAAAAGTTTTAATTGACTCTTGATTGCGGCTTAAACTACATCTTTGGTTTTACATGTGTTTCGGGATAAATAATTTCCTCAATGCCCTAATATGATTTTGTTTTTTTTAATCATATCATCTTTCTATAATTTTTGTATTATTATAATATTTAATTAATTATATTCTACATGTAGAATGTTTTTGCCTGAGTTTATAAATATAACTTTAAATTGGATTGACAAACAGCCCAACCACAACTTCGACATTTGCTGATGATACTGCCATATTAAGTCGCTCCAAGTGCCCAAGAAGGGCCACGGATCACTTATCATCTAATCTCGTGGCCTTAGAAAAATGGCTAGCAGACTGGCGGATGCATGTAAATGAGCAAAAGTGCAAGCATGACACCTTCACGTTAAACAGACAAACTTGCCCTCCATTATGTCTGAACAATATCAACATTCCACAACCACCACCGAAGATAGAAGGCTTACTTGGCGTAAACACATCGAAGCGAAGAGAAATCTACTTAAATTTAAAGCTAGTAATCTACATTGGCTAATAAACACCCGTTCACCACTAAAACTGGAGTACAAAGTACTTTTGTACAATGCAGTTCTCAAACCCATCTGGACATACGGCTCCGAGTTATGGGGAAATTCTTGCGTTAGTAATTTAGAAATAATCCAGAGAGCTCAATCGAAGATACTAAGAACTATCTCTGGGGCACCATGGTATATACGGAATAAAGACTTAAATGTAGGATCACTTAAAGATGAAATTGCCAAAGTGAAAGCAAAGTACCAGGCCAAGCTTCAAGCCCATCCTAATAGACTTGTGCAGTCTTTAACTTGGCACACTAGCCATACACGACTCCGGCGAAGAGACCTCCCCACCCAGCAATAATACTTAGCTAGGGACGTACTGTAAGTATTTAAGTGTAATTAATTAAATAAATATATTAGGCTAGGATTTGTATACTTGTCGTAAGTCTCTAATAGGGAAGATTCGATAAATAAAATCCCGTAATAAAAAAAAAAAAAATTACATTCAAACAAATTACAGCTTAACTCAAAATAATTCCAAATAATTACTTGAGCCTTAGAGGGAAATATAAACTTAAAATCAGTATATTTATAATATATATATATATATATTAGCTGACTTCGTACCGCCTAACAGTCAATGAATGTCGTGTTACTTTTTAGCTGAACTAATTTAGGATTTGATGAACGTAAAACAATAATACAAAATAATATATTTATATAGATAGAAACAAAAAAGTATTTTATTATGATGAATGATGATGAAAACATACATACAGAATGAGAATAAAAATAAAAGAAAATAAAAAATAATAATTAAGTACTTCAAACTCATGTCAGAAAAAAATGATTGAAAACTATGTTGTGCAGATTGGGAAAAAAAAAATAAAACTCGGATTAATTCATTAATAGGATTTTCATTCAAGCACTTTGTGGTAAACGACATTCTTTGTTTTTTGGTCAGGCGCAAGAACAAATAAAGCGGATGGTTTTCCGACACGTGAGCATGCCACGTACAATTGACCATGAGAAAAACATGCATTTTCTAGATTGAGGCCACAAATAGTCAAGGATTGGCCCTGTGATTTGTTGATCGTCATGGCGAAGGCAAGACGAATCGGGAATTGAATTCGTTTAAACTCAAAGGGCATATCCGTTGGGATCATCGGAATCCTTTGGATAAGAACTTCCTCATCTTTAAATTTTCCTTTAAGTATCGACGCGTGAATAACATTGCTCATCCGTTTTCTTATCACCAAACGCGTTCCATTACACAGTTTTGGTTGGTTTAAATTTCTAAGCATGATGACTACCGAGCCAACTTTAAGTTTTAAATTGTGCGGTGGTAAACCAGGCACATCCAAGGAGTTTAAAAATTCAGTTGGATAACACTACTCGACAAAATCGAGCCTTTTTTTTCCTCAAGGATCCAAACCGACTTTTTCTGATAGATATGGGGACTTAAATTTTTTTAAAGAATTATGGTTTTTTTTCTATGGCAGAACTTTTTTTTGAAGAATTTTTGAAAACTGGTATTTTTTTTTAAAGCTTTTTTCAGAGGTAGCGCTTGTTCTAGTATCTTACGTCTGGTTGTAAAGAACTTTGCTATTTTGAAAAGATAATTAAAACAGATAGAAGTTAAGCCCAAACTCTTTGTGATTACAGCTTACCGTCTGGGAAATATAAAGCATTGAAATGCAAAAATGATGATTTTTGTGCGGTATATTTTACGAAATTTTGACTTTAAAAACTCAGGAAAAGTCGAAAAAAAAATTATATCTTGTGTCCTATATTTTTTTGTGTTTAGGTGCGTTAATTTGGCGTCGTTTAAGGTATCGCTCATTAAAATCTATGGAGAGACTTTGGAGCTAAAATTCGTTAACCAAACCTAAAAAATGAAAAAAATGAACAAAAAATACCTTTTCGATGGTTGCGAGCTCAACTGCCCATTGGGAATTGGGAACGCGATCAGGTACCAAATGTACAACCCTTGTTCGTTTTCTTTGTCCAATTGGCAGTTGGGCCCGCAACCATCGAAAAGGTATTTTTTGTTCATTTTTTTCATTTTTTAGGCAAAATAGCAAAGTTCTTTACAACCAGACGTAAGATACTAGAACTATGTGAAAAAAAAAAGCGCTACCTCTGAAAAAAGCTTTAAAAAAAAATACCAGTTTTCAAAAATTCTTCAAAAAAAAGTTCTGCCATAGAAAAAAAAAAATATCATCAAACCATTTCTAAGCCCCAAATCTTTAAGAAAAAGTTCGTTTTGTTCCTTGAGGAAAAATCGTGTTGACTAGTGTAATTAGTGGCTTCTTCTTCGTTTGTTACACAGTAGGTACAGAGTACCTACGATTTGATTTTGAATTATAAAATTGAGGTCATCTACATCTTTATTTTTAGCAACCAAAATTGCTCGCTGTGTGGTTTTGTGGTTAGCAATGATATCCGGGAATACTTTGTTGATAAGCTCTTCTTTTGATGATACGAAATTGCAAAGATTTGGAGGAAATGAAATCAAACCGCTCGATTTGTCAACAGGAACACGGCCATCACCGATAGTCAGCAATTGCTTCGAGAAATCATCAGCAGATAGATCGTTCAACAATGCAACTCTCATATTTACAGACAGTTGAAGTTTCTTTACATATCGCCACAGATTTGATGCTTTGAGGCAAGCGTTTATTTCGTCGGCAGCAGTAGATCTTGGAATGACTGGTAGTGTTTGTCGGAAATCGCCAGATAATAAAATCATTGCACCACCATAACATCTCGAGTCATTGCGCAGATCTTTTAATGTTCGGTCTAGTGCTTTCAATGCGCGTTTGTGCGCCATTGTGCATTCGTCCCATATGATGATTTTTGATGCTACTAAAACTTTGGCTATTGCGGAGTGTTTCGAAATGTTACATGTCGGTTGTTCAGTAGTTTGAAGGTTTAATGGCAATTTTAACGCTGAGTGAGCCGTACGGCATCCGTCTAACAATGTGGCCGCTATTCCAGAAGAAGCAATTGCTACCGCAATTTCGGATCTCGCACGTACAGTGGCCAAAATCAATGACATGAGGAATGTCTTCCCAGTTCCACCGGGGGCATCCAAAAAAAATAAGCCGCCATTTCCATCATCAATTGCATTAATCAGTGTATCATAGACTTCCCTCTGCTTAGGATTCAACAGAGGTACATTCCTTTGAACTGATTGGATTAGTTCATGTGGATCATATTCACGTTCACGTTCCAATTCTCTATTAAATGCGTCATTCATTCCGTGATCTGGCGCTGGCATTCCTAACCTAACTAACAAACTGCCGCACATGAGGTAACACATATCTTCGATCAAGAGCAAAGTCTGGTTATGGATCTCCTCATTCACCTCAAGATCGGAATTTCTTGAGCTGACGCGAATTCGATGTAAAATATCTTCTGACATGTTATCTTTGTATTTGTTCCACAGGTCACGTGGGTTCGATAGGAAGCATGTTGAAATGATGATAGCAAATAATGTGCGTATCTGACTTGGAGATGCAGAAATAATTGCTTCAGCGATTGTCGTGTCCCAATGAGTATCGTTTTCAAGCAAATTTAGCTCTTGACATGCTGCACGAAATGTGGGGCACACAATACCATTAACAGTTCGTAGTGATTCAAATGATGTTGGCCCTCGGACATGTACCAGCAACAACCGCAAATAGAAACATTCATCATTCTTCGGATGAACTGTGTAAATACGACCAAGAGCATCAGTAGAACGCATATCTGGATGACCAGGAACTGCATCGCCTTGCTTCCGACGTTGAAATTTCTTCGATGTAGCGTTCCAAGTGTAATAACGTGGCATTTCTGAGTAAAGCAAAGTTCGTGCGAACGGATCGCTTTGACAAATCGCAAAGAAACAGGTCAGTGTTGTCGCTGGAGGTGTTTCGGCACGTTGAGCAGCATTCGACGCTGTGAAATATACTCTCTGACCGTTCTCTAGATGCACCCCCAAATGTAAAACAGTGGGATGACGTTCGTGAATAGGGAATGAAAATATACGCCAAATTGCTTCATTGCAGTTCACATATCTACCAACGTGATAGCGCGTGATTTCATCGTTGGTATTGGATGTTTGGATACCAAAAACCGCCATGCCGCTCCCTTTCGTGACATATTTGCAAATGTATTTAATTGACTTGACCGAATTGCAATACTCAACATTACAATGTGCTTTGAATGTTTTGGATAGAAGTGGCGAATATGGAACAATCCAACTGTTGTCAACTACGAAATCGTTTCCTTTCACTTTAGTTGTGATAGTTCTACCATTATCATCGGGTGATCGACGCCGATACAATGGATAACCATCGTTGCCTGTAATGGTCTCTGCCGTCAATTTTCGTGGATACCGTTTGGAACACTTGCCGTCGACCATGCACGGTGATTGTCGGTTGATAGTGCCACACGGTCCATGAATCATATTCGTGACTACAACATCATGTAGGTCTGGATCGGTTTCAGGAGCAGGAATCTCCGCAAATATGATGTCATCTATTTGATCTGGCCGAATTCTTTCGACTAATCAAATCAGAATGTGAGCATGCGGTAGGCCTCGTTTTTTCCATTCGATTGAATACATCCAGCATCGAGTATTCCCAAAGACGTGTTGCTTAACAATGTAATTCATTAGTGACCGAATTTTTTGCCTGAAAACACGTGCGGTGATGTCGTGTCGATCACTTGATGTTTGTCCGGGAAGCAGCATTTGAATAATTTCTATCCATTTCGGATTACATGTAAATGTAATGAATAGATCTGGCCGACCATAATGACGAACATATGTCATTGCATCTTGCGCATATTCATGCAAATGACGCGGGCTACCTATGTATGTCGCCGGTAAAATAGTCAATCGACCAACATTTTCTGAATCTCCCTCTGTGCTAATTGCATCGCGTAAATGGATATACTCTTCCGAACGCAATTTAGCTTGATTCAACCGAATGAAAGTCAGGCGCTCCGTTTCGATTTTAACGTACATGTCAACGCAATATTGTTGAAGCAGTCGACGAAATCGCAACAAATAATTGTCAGAATTTTCACGAATCATCAAACGATATGCGTAATAATTCATCGAACTAACCTTCTTGGTAGTTTCCTCACCTGAAACAAATGCAGTAAAAATTGTATTTTAGAAGCCGTAATAGGTTAACGACTCTTACAGCTACTCTCTACTAAATTAGAAATTACAACTTTTTTTGAGTACTAAAAGCAAACAGAATAAAAATGAAAACAAAAATATTGATCTTACCATTCAATGGATTAATCATTTTGATATTAAAGTGATATCCATCGTCTCCTTGCCAAAACATCAGCGGGTATTGTAACGCGTCATATGAACGGTGTGTTTCATATATTCTTTGTAGTTGCCCAGTATTGCGTCGTGTAAGTACAATATCACGTGTTTCCAAGTTTTCACCAACAATCAGGATTGCCACTTCATCGATTGTTGGAGCATTAAATGTGCGTTCATGTGTTCCAGCTGGTCTTTTATCTGCTCTGATCACAACTTTATAGTCATCACTTGGCATGCGCTCTAAAGCAGTCTTGAACAGTCTGACCAATGCATGATGTTCATTAGGCATTTGCTGCAGATCTTGGAGAATTGCTCTTTTCGTAGCTGTGTTGATCCCTTGACGCCGGTCAAGTTCTTCCATATTGCCCATGAAGTATATTTGCAAGAATTTATGCTGTGCATCTTCTATAGGTTGCAATGATCCAATGCGATGGCAAATCTGGCCTTGAATCTGTAAAGTCAAAACCATAGTTATGGTTAGATTTACAAACACTTTTTTTACAAACACTTTTTTTTTCAAATAATAACATGCCATTTTTATTTCAGAGACAAATACAGAAATCTAACAAACTACATTCCAGATTTTTTTTACAATGATAGAAAATAAAGTTTTTAACGTAAATTACCTTAAATGTCGGATAATATCCGTGTTCTTCGATAATTTCCGCCCCAAATGAAGTCATTTGGAAACAGACATTGTATTTTTGAGTTTTCGCTAGAAAATGTCGTGATTCTAGTGTTTCGCCATAAAGCAGGGAGCACAATGGCTCTGGTGGCGGGACCAATAATGGCAATTTCACTTTACCACTAAGGCAGCACAAACCAGGCGTTTCACCAGCAAACTTCAATGCTCCACAATACTGGCAAACAACGTCCATTGGGCCAATGCAAACTAAACGATGCAAGCTGTAGTCGATGGTGCAATCATACAGAAACGCTGCTCGATTCAAATCAATACTTAAACCATTTCTTCTTGCACTTCGAAGATTATTACTCTGTTCATCTGTACGATAAGCTCGACGATTTCTCGTTTCTAACCTAGCCGTTTCACGGGCTGCCACTCTTTGCTCTTGTGTTTGAGAAGCACGAATTAAGGCCCTTCTTTGCTCCATACTAACGCGGCGCTGTTCTCGTGCAATTTCTCGTTCTCCATCAGATAATTGACTCGCGATATTCCGTTGCCTAATTGCATTACGGCTTCGCTGGGAAAGATTAGATCTTCTAGGACGCGGCATTGTTATTAAAATATGCACTCGCATAAAACCACCAAACTGATTTTTTATTCCCTAAATTCCGTTCCTTTCCGATGATTTTATGTTTTTACTGTAGAATAAATCTTAGGTATTATTTTCGGGAATTTGACTATTTGACAGGATTGGACAACAAATGTTTGACATGGAGAAAGAAAAACAATGAAAACTCGATATGTGTAATAAAAAAATCAGCATCTATTCATTACACATATCGAGTTTTCATTGTTATACCCGTACTCAAAAAAGAGTTAAGGGGTATATTAGATTTGTGGTAAAAGTGGATGTGTGTAACGCAGAGAAGGAAAATTTTCCGACCCCATAAAGTATATATATTCTTGATCAGCATCAATAGCCGAGTCGATATAGCCATGTCTGTCTGTCCGTCCGTCCGTCCGTCCGTCCGTCTGTCCGTCTGTCCGTCTCGATGAGCGCCTGGATCTCAGAGGCTATAAGAGCTAGAGAAACCAAATTGTTTGGTTTCCAGACTTATGTGATATCAAACGGAAGTCTCAAACGGAACTGTCTTCTTGTTCTCGAGTTATTGATCTCGAGACCTCTGTTGGGAAGCTTAAAGCTTATCTCCTTAAGCTTTCGGCTTCGGCTGATATTTCGTCTTCGTGATTGAGTGATGATGGCTTCGGCTGAGAGAGGCGAAGCTTCGGCTGTGAGAGGCGTTGCTTTGGTGAGAGCGGCTGATAAGCGATGCGTCGGCCTATGTGTGGGAGGCTTGGGAGATGCGTCGGCTTGGACGAAACAGGCGGCCGCAGCTGGTGATTGGTGTCAGCTTTCATCTTGAGAACTCACTTGTTTACAAGAGTTCTCCCTTTTATTGGAGTGTGGGACTGATTCTGAATTAGTCATAGTGTGGAGTGTGGGAACGAGCTGATAACGTATTGGTCAGCGACGTTCTATTGCATTCCCGAGTTTTGGGTTGCATGGGACTTCCTGTTGATTTCGGTATGGACGAATCATGCGTTGTTTATTCAGCTGTTGGGGTATCTTCTTATATGTTTATCTTATTTCATATAGATGCGAATACATGGGTGTAAGGGTGAGTGCTGGGCATATGCATAACGTGTATAGGTGTGGGTGTGGTTATGAATATGTCAAGTGCTTAACGTATACTTAATGCGTATGTGGGTGTAGGGTATTATGGATATGTTACCTCCCCGGCATTTTTTATAAGCCTGTCCTCAGGTTTTCACTTTAGGGTATAGGGGTGGGAATTTAATCTATAACTTTTGGAGTACTTTTTTCTTCTTCTTCTGTTTTTTTTCTCTTCCTTAGGTTTTACATATTTAATAGTTATATTTTTAGGTATTTTCTTAAATTTGACAATTAGATACCCAGTTATGCTTATTATTGATAAAATGAACATAATTATTATAACTATCTGCAATATATTATTATATTTTGTTTGTTGTATAATTATTTCTTTTGTCTGTACATAAGACAATGGTTCTAATCTAGTTATGTTATTACTCACATAGACATTTTGTGTAAAATCTAGCATTGAATTAGTTATTGTGAATTCGTTTAAGTGAGTTGAACAGTTTTAGATCTTAATTATATTATTGCCTTCGATTGTTATTTCTTTGTCTAAACAGTTTTGGTTTAATTTGGATTTTGGAAGGTTCCATGTTAACAATACACTTGGTTCAAAGTAATTAATTTGGAAATTCTTAAAAGTTCTTGTGTATGGACATTTAGTGGGTTTTTGCTTTAAAATCCCTTTTATACAACTGTCTTCTATTATTTGCTTAATTCTGTTAAAATATAATTTTGGTTATCTGGATATGGCACAATTTTATATACTGGGATATTAGCAATTTCGCTCGGAATATTGGAGATTATTATACCCGTACTCAAAAAAGAGTCAAGGGGTATATTAGATTTGTGGTAAAAGTGGATGTGTGCAACGCAGAGAAGGAAACGTTTCCGACCCCATAAAGTATATATATTCTTGATCAGCAGCAATAGCCGAGTCGATATAGCCATGTCCGTCTGTCCGTCTGTCTGTCTGTCTGTCTGTCTGTCCGTCTTGTTGAGCGCCTAGATCTCAGAGACTATAAGAGATAGGGCAACCAAATTTGGTTTCCACACTCTTGTGATATCACACTGCTACAAGTGTACTTCAGAATTTCGCCCCGCCCCCTCCCGCCCCACAAAAGACGAAAATCTGTGGCAGGCACAATTTTAAAGATACGATAAAACTAAAAAAACGCAGTATTGTAGAGAATGCCCATATCTACCAGACTGCCGAATCTGAATCAGATCGGATTATAATTATAGCCAGAATGAAGAAATGAATTTTCAGTTGCTTCCCCTTCCCCCTCCCGCAAACGACAACGCAACTCAGTTTCCTTCTCGCTCGCACACTCTGTCGCGTTCAGTGCGTTAGCAACCCCTAGCGGAGGAGATGTAGAATCTAAATGGTACATGTTTAATCTACATGTTAGATGTATAATATACATAATATATGTAGATGTAGATAACAGATGTAGCAAAAAATGTAAAATGTACAATTTTTTTTTTTAATTCTAAAATTCTAAAAAATTATATGCTCAAAAATTTATATACTGACTGAGTACGGGTATAAGTAGAGTCGCGTCCCCAGAAGCGACTCGCACGTTCCTTCTCGTATAAATTTCGTTTGTATCAACTTTTAGCCATGTAGAAGTTTTAATATTTAGCAATTTCTCAGAATTTATATGTTTCAGGTAATCTTGTTTTAGTAGTTTTGGGTTAAAAATACCAAGTCTAGTTAGTTGCATTCCCATTTCTATATCCTCTATGTATTCAGTGAAATGTTGTAGGTTGAAGATTCATATTTCTAATTTGTTGTTTTCTTCGTTTATTTGGTTTATTATCTCAATTCCATGGTTTACTACTTCTATAACTAAATTTAGTTCGTTTGTTTGGATGCTATGTGTGGCGAGATTTTCTATTCTCTGTTCTAATTCTTTCTTGTCTTCTTGATCTAGTGTGCCAAATAAGTATTTATAGGCGGTACCTACGATATTTATTAGGCCTCTCTTGTTGCGTTTAGCAATTTTTAAGCCATTTATTTCCCTATTAAATTTATCTACTAGGTATTTTACTTGGATTATGTTTTCAAATTTATTAGCCATTACTAGAAGGTTTTGATAGGTTTCTTCAGTTTTTGTTACACTAACTGTTAAGTAATGGTATTCTAATCGGGAGGTCGATTGATCCCGTTTTAAATATGAGGTATCCGTTTCTGGACTCGATCGGATTTATTTCAATATTTTGTCCTACTGTTGTAAGGACCATTAATGTCATGATGACGATGATTTTAATTATGTTGCCGTTGATCGTTAACTTCCGATTCGATGGGCGGCCTGGAATTATCATATTTGCTAGTATTAATTTTCTTTTTATACCCGTACTCAAAAAAGAGTTAAGGGGTATATTAGATTTGTGGTAAAAGTGGATGTGTGTAACGCAGAGAAGGAAACGTATTGGTCAGCGACGTTCTATTGCATTCCCGAGTTTTGGGTTGCATGGGACTTCCTGTTGATTTCGGTATGGACGAATCATGCGTTGTTTATTCAGCTGTTGGGGTATCTTCTTATATGTTTATCTTATTTCATATAGATGCGAATACATGGGTGTAAGGGTGAGTGCTGGGCATATGCATAACGTGTATAGGTGTGGGTGTGGTTATGAATATGTCAAGTGCTTAACGTATACTTAATGCGTATGTGGGTGTAGGGTATTATGGATATGTTACTCCCCCGGCATTTTTTATAAGCCTGTCCTCAGGTTTTCACTTTAGGGTATAGGGAGGGAATTTAATCTATAACTTTTGGAGTACTTTTTTCTTCTTCTTCTGTTTTTTTCTCTTCCTTAGGTTTTACATATTTAATAGTTATATTTTTAGGTATTTTCTTAAATTTGACAATTAGATACCCAGTTATGCTTATTATTGATAAAATGAACATAATTATTATAACTATCTGCAATATATTATTATATTTTGTTTGTTGTATAATTATTTCTTTTGTCTGTACATAAGACAATGGTTCTAATCTAGTTATGTTATTACTCACATAGACATTTTGTGTAAAATCTAGCATTGAATTAGTTATTGTGAATTCGTTTAAGTGAGTTGAACAGTTTTAGATCTTAATTATATTATTGCCTTCGATTGTTATTTCTTTGTCTAAACAGTTTTGGTTTAATTTGGATTTTGGAAGGTTCCATGTTAACAATATATTTGGTTCAAAGTAATTAATTTGGAAATTCTTAAAAGTTCTTGTGTATGGACATTTAGTGGGTTTTTGCTTTAAAATCCCTTTTACACAATTGTCTTCTATTATTTGCTTTGTTTCTTTGTTATATATTTTGTCTTCGTAAATAAAATATTTATCGAATATTAATTCTGTTAAAATATAATTTTGGTTATCTGGATATGGCACAATTTTATATACTGGGATATTAGCAATTTCGCTCGGAATATTGGAGATTATTATACCCGTACTCAAAAAAGAGTCAAGGGGTATATTAGATTTGTGGTAAAAGTGGATGTGTGCAACGCAGAGAAGGAAACGTTTCCGACCCCATAAAGTATATATATTCTTGATCAGCAGCAATAGCCGAGTCGATATAGCCATGTCCGTCTGTCCGTCTGTCTGTCTGTCTGTCCGTCTTGTTGAGCGCCTAGATCTCAGAGACTATAAGAGATAGGGCAACCAAATTTGGTTTCCACACTCATGTGATATCACACTGCTACAAGTGTACTTCAGAATTTCGCCCCGCCCCCTCCCGCCCCACAAAAGACGAAAATCTGTGGCAGGCACAATTTTAAAGATACGATAAAACTAAAAACGCAGTATTGTAGAGAATGCCCATATCTACCAGACTGCCGAATCTGAATCAGATCGGATTATAATTATAGCCAGAATGAAGAAATGAATTTTCAGTTGCTTCCCCTTCCCCCTCCCGCAAACGACAACGCAACTCAGTTTCCTTCTCGCTCGCACACTCTGTCGCGTTCAGTGCGTTAGCAACCCCTAGCGGA